CTGCTGCAATATGAGTCCATTAACTTGAGAATAGAAATCAACTTAAAGATTCTATAAGATATGTTTTTTTAACAAGATTTTAGCGTAATTTTATTTATGAAATTACTTTTACTCACTTGTAATGGAGTAACCATGCTTGTAATAGTGGCAAGTTTATCAAAGGATGATACAACTCCTGTAAATGATGGGGAGCGCTTTATACGCGATATTAGTCTAACAGGAATTGGAGATTCTCTGAAAGAAAAATCACCCATAAAAGACCATGTTGCTGCTGAAAATGAGTATGTACAGTATTGTGTCTTATAAAATAAATGTAAAATAATATAACATTGCAATAATGTTAAATATTTACTACTTTCATAAAGATTATAATCTCTCGTTTTTTTTTTAATTAGAAAAAATGTAATAATTTTTTCGTTATATAATATATAATCTAACAATTATTTAATATCTTTGTAGTAAAAACATCGAACATAGCGCGTTAAGATTGCCGTTGCAGCCATTGGATTTTAAAAAGAATGATGCAAATATTCCAAGACTGAAAGAGATTACTCCAGGTCAAGACTTATTGGAATGGTGTAAAGAAGTCACTAAAGACTATCCCGGTGTTAAAGTTACCAATCTGACGACATCTTGGAGAAACGGAATGGCGTTCTGCGCAATTATTCATCATTTCAGACCAGATCTGATGTAAGTGTTTCTATTATAGAGATTGTCTTAATCGGATATCGTAACTTTCGCAAATCGTTCCATTCTTCGCGCTATCTTTTCCTAGGAAGAAAATGTCAATCAACGACCTTGGCAGTATGCCAGTTATTTTACTCGCGCGTTCCATTAATAAACATTTTGAGATCGTCATTGTTTTGTGTCGATCGGCTTGTGCCAACATTTTGAAGATTATTTTTGACGTCAGAAAGGTCAACGTATTTATATATGTATAACAGCATGTACATCAGTTATTGCAAATAACAATGAATATATAATGAAGGAAGAGTAGACTTTACCACACTTACAATGTATATAAATTTATCTTATTTTATAATGAGAAAAATTATACTTGAATAAATCATGTTGCCTAAAACAATTGTGGCGCTAAAAATAAAACAAAATAAAAAAGGATAAAACGTAGAAGTATTCTATTAAGAAGGCATAAAATTATATCATTTATTTGCTTTGATCTATATAGTTTTAAATGTTTCTTATTAATGTATTAAAAACTAATCATAAATAATCTTGCTACTATTTTATAAATATGATAAAATTTGATTTTTTAAAGCAAATTGGATAATATTTGAAACAAAAATTTATAGAGATATTGATTCGCTGTTACCCCACGATGTAAAAGGCAATTGCAAAAAAGCATTTGACGCGGGCGAAGCTCTAGGTATACCCAGAGTTATAGAACCAGCAGACATGGACATATTAACCGTACCTGATAAATTGGCTGTGATGACATATTTGTATCAATTGAGAGCGCATTTTACAGGCCATGAACTGGAGGTATTTCAATCAAATTCTCTTATATTAATGTCTTTATCCAATGATTCTGTTTCTTCTCTTTGTTTGCATAATGCTATACCCAGCAACTGACAGCATGGTGTGACACTACTAATCCTGTGTTACTGTTTTAATTGAATCATTCTAGGTACACCAAATAGGTAAAACAACAGACGAATCTTCTTACATGATTGGTAGATTTAACACAGACAACAACACAGACGTGAGTGTCCAGTTATTTGGTCAAGAAATTATTAACTTACGAAAGAAGGAACAGATCGATCAGAAAAATAATAAAACGGACAATAACCGACGGTAAATATATTCGTTATGACATTGCATAACTTGCTGCTAGACAAACCAGAAATTCTTAGTCAAAAGATCAAGATTAGAAACTCGCGATTCACTCTTGTAGATCGAATCCATTTGACAACAAAAAGGACGACATCAGCATTGACTCGCTGAAAAATAAGCTGCATTTGAGTCTGAACACAGACAATCAAGATCACGATCAATGTAATAAAGATAAGTCGCCGTCTAGCGTGAAAGAAGTCAAGGATATCATATTGGCCAGCTCGAAAAGCATTCTGGGCAAAGTGTTATCACCAACCAAAGAAAAGTATTCATCGAGAGAGAAGGTACGTAGCAAAACTCAAACAAACATTTCGACATTGCTCCCGATTTTTCAGTCAGACCAGTTGTATATATATTTCGATTCGTAACTGGTGCGCAGCTTTTTTTTTCATTGTGAGGAAATGAGTACAAATTTATCGCAGAGTAAATCCCCACCGAGAGTACAACAAGCGCAGCAACGTCCGATACTTATGACACGCCGGCAATTAACCGATCCGTTCGGCTCCGACGATGAAGAGGAGAACATACAGATAATCGACGACAAATGGTCGCAATCGATCTCGATTACCAAATCGCAAAGCCCGATCCGTGATGTCAGTATACACGAGATTGTGCAGACTATCGCTTTTTACGCAGTCCTCTTATTATACCTCGCTGCATTAACAATAAACCCATAATAAGCGCGCACTGTTGTATCTCTCTCTACTTCTTTTTACCGGTAAAGTGCGTTTTTTTTCTTGTTTTTTTTTTTAACTTTTCATTTATTATTGGCGTGCAAATTTGTAACTGCGCTTTTTTGCCGACAAGTATTATGTCTATGTAATACACGCACTGTATAAAGTTGCATGTAAATGTGCATGAAGAAAGTGCGCATAATGAATATTCCGTGATGTACGAAATGTAGATTTGTACAGGCTGTCTCATAAGCTTTGCATTAAATTCTTTTTGGAAAATATAGTTTTAATCTTCAGTCAAATTTAACAAACATTTAATTTCAAGACTTTGATCCTTCTTAGTTATTAAGAATGCTTAATGTTAAAAATTTAAATATTGCAAACAAGTATCTCTGAAAGATACGAATATTACCTTAAAATATCCTATAACGAAGGTTGAAGTAATAAATAATATAAAAAGAAAGGTTATAAATGTGATTTATGCAAGATTTAATTTCTTTTTTCTTTGAGATTCAAACTTATATTTTTTATACATAATGTCTTTAGAAATTATACAAGAATTTTATATCGATATCATAATTAGGATATTTTATGTGTTGTTTCAATTTTACATTCTTTTCTTTGTACAAAAATATTAATCTAAGCCACGTATATCCATGAAGAAGCTTTACAACAATACCTTGATGCAACCAAGTTTTATCAATACAAGCGTATTAAGAATAGTCTTTTGTAGGATTTGGTAAACTCTGATGGCAGAGGAAGTCGAGGTAGTACAGAATGCCAAGGTGCATCACCACCATATGGAGAACAACGTTCGCAACACGTAATTAATAATACTTGTTCTTAGTATTGTTTTTAATTTATGATACATCAATCAATTTATATTTCTATTTTCTTTTTATATTAGTCATTAGTTAGCCGGCACGAGGAATTGCGAGAGCGTGCGAGACAACTCTTAGAGCAAGCCAGAAACCAGACGAAGCCATCCGGATTTGTTTCCGCCGCGATCAGCCCCGTCGAGGTTCTGTATCTATATAGTATTAAAGAATATTCTGTTAATATATCGAGTATTTCTCGAGGCATACGATTACACGCATATATCTATGTGTATGTAATATATTTTATAGGCACAGAATGACGACGAAAGGCAACAACAATTGCGCGAAAGGGCGAGACGCTTGATAGCGGAAGTGAAAATGGGCGTTGCTGTGACTCCGAGTCAACTGAATGAGGATAACAGCAGTGATAGACGATCGATAGACGATCAGAACAATAGTCCTAGACGTAGCATCACGCCATCGACCCCTGGTGATAGACTCAGTATAAAGGTATTCAAAATGATACGCGTCACTAAGATTATATATAAAATAATAAATTATAACTAAATTAACTCCTTAGTCTGAGTATAATGGAAACATCTTGGGGAATACGAGCGTAATAGACGGTGAGAAGAAAACTGGTTCGCCTTTATATTCCTTCTCCAAAATCATAGAACGAATCTCACCCGATAAAGGAAGTCCTGACAGAACTCCGTATACACTTCGCGGGGTACGTTAACTTAATTTGATTAATTTGTTTAAGTAATAAATTGAAGAAATTGCAATTTATGATATACTTGAAGCAATGTATATATTCTAAATTGCTCATTTTTATTAAGTTTTAATAACGATTTATTTATCCTTTCAATAACATTTCAACATTTTAGTTGGGTAAAGATATGACATCGTATATTCAAAATGAGCTCGAAGCGCTTGAGAGGGAACAGAATCAGATCGATATACAGGCTGGTAAGCTTGAAAAGCAATTGAGAGCGGCCATGGAGAGTGATAACGAAGACGAAACGGAAAGACTGATGTCTCTATGGTTCACACTTGTTAACAAGAAGAACGCACTTTTAAGAAGGCAAATGCAGTTAAACATATTGTAAGTGATTCATTGATTTAAGCATATTCTTTAATAGCAAATTTGATTGGATGCGCTAATGCGCACTGGTGCACATTTTTAAAGGCTATCATACACAAATTACAATATAAGCATAAGTAATTAAAACACATTAAGATAATTAGTAATAATAGTATGAGTTATCATTATTTGTATTGAAGAACAATAATAATAGCTCTTAGTATTAATACTTTTACTTTTTTAATTACTTATGTCATTATAAATTTGTGTACAATAATCTTTATGTACATCAATGTGCACTACTATATTCAACCGAATTTGCTATAAATGTTTTTTATTTTTTGATTGAAAATTGCATAGGCAATATTATTACAATAATCTTTCATTTCGATAAATGAATCTTATCTTTAGGGAGAAAGAAGACGACTTAGAACGACGATTCGAACTTTTGAATCGTGAATTAAGAAGCATTCTCGCGGTAGAGGATTGGCGAAAAACATCCGAGCAAAAAATGCGTGAAAATTTATTATTGGAGGAGTTGGTGTCCATTGTGAATAAAAGAGATGAATTAGTTCATCATCTCGATACACAAGAGAGAGCGTAAGTATGATGAATACATATTAATGTATTATATTTTTCTAGGATTACTATGTTTTATCTTTTGCTTTCCCATACAATTTTCAGCATTGAGGATGATGACGAGATAGAGCGCGATTTGTCTCGTGCTGGATTAGCTCAACGAAACAAAAATTGTGTTGTACAATGAGGAGTTTTATTTATCGTGTTTTTCTGACACTATTATGAAGGTAAATTATTTTATGTTATATAAAGGTATTTCAGAAAATGAAGAAAAATCAAGAATAAAAATATAATATAATTTATTAATCTCATGTATAAAATTCTATTCATCTATTCATTGGTATTTCTTATTGTTCTTAAATCTGATAATCAAATCTTTTAAATTAAATTCATATCGAATTAAAATATTTAAATTATATTAGATCTCTCAGTAAAACAAAATTAAATTTTAAATTAAATTTTGCTATTTTAATCCAAGCATTAATATTTTAATAAGATATACAATTTGTATTGGATTTTTTTTATTTATTAAAATTCTCAAAATGATCTTTTTTTTTTTTTCAAGATAATGTGCAAGAGAGCACAAATTTCTAATCACAAATTTCGTTTTATAGGCATGACCCATTTTGCTGCAAAGTTGCCAAAGAGCCGACGAAATTAGAGATTGGAGAGTTAAGTATGGTGTTTCATGATCTACAAACAGATTATTTTTAGAAACTCATATCTTTTTTATTGTGCATTATAAATGAATCCATTCGAAATAGATTCATATACTTTATTTTTTGCTTTTACCATAAATATACTAAATTCATAAAAAGTTCAAAGAAAAATAAAGAAAAAAGGGAATTCAAATATCAACAAGCATTAGATAAATATTAATCAATGAGATGCATAAAAGCACTTGATTTTTTGTATGCTATTGAATACAAAATGCCGATTATTTCATAGAGTAAGCATTTTATGGCGTGTTTTAAGTGGAATTGTAATAGAATTGTGTGCAAATAGATGAAACAATATGTGTTATTGAGTAAAAAATCATGCAAAACACTTTCACAATTGATAATAGATAAAATAATATGATTTTTCTTTTTTTAACTAAGAGATAAGACACATTTATATTTAGCAAAAGTAGGGCGGACGCAAATGCAAGGAATAAATGGAAAGAATGGAAGTTGGTAATAAGGATATATCTTCATGAGATTCAAGAAGTAATTCATTACAAAGTTATCAAATATTGTACATTATATTATTATTTTGTTCATACAATTTTACAAGTTATTAATTATATTCACATAATTAATAACTAATTGAGGAATATAAACATAATGCAACTTTCAATAATTGCAAATGAACTTGAAACATCTGTGCTTTATGTAGAGATTTACTTTGTGGCGCCAAGATATTTAATATTGAGAAACCAAAGAATTGTGACAATTAATTACTTTGAATCATTATTCGCACGAAAGAAATATTAATAACACATTTGGTCGATCATATCGTGTCTCTCTGTAAATATTTTTGATAGCTACTATCGCTCTGGTTAAAGAGATTAGTCATAGACGTGCGTATGTGTTAAAAGCAATTACCAAGTTCCATAATCGATCTAAATCGATATTTCGCTATCGATTCAAATTGATTCGCGGAGAATAGAGTTATTACAAAAAACGCGCGTTGGAATTATGTCTAGTTTTTGGACTCGTCGTTCTTTTTCATTCGCATATACTCTATTTGTGCCATATATATAACGTTGACATATATTTTACGTACTATTTGTGTAAAAGATTCACAGTGCAGAGGGATACATTAAAGGTAAATAATTTTACTGGTTGTGTAACACACTTTTTTAAGGAGACGTAATAAGATTATTCTCATTAGGACTAATTCTCCTTATGCGATATATTTGCGTGTAAGATACTGCATTGACTGCAAGTATTTGGAATGAAATGGTACGTTATTTTTAAGTGTTTTGGCCGTGAACTGTAACATAACATGTAAAAAGAAAAAAAACTTATTTATTGGCTCAACAACAATTGGCTAACAAAAAATTATGAGAAATGTTTATTATGTTTCCTTTTAGGTTTGTTGGAATTTTTGAGAATGAATTAATAAATATTTATTATCTCTCTAATTTATCTAACTTCTTTCGAAATTGATGATATTGTCTGAAAAAATATGTTTTTCGATATGTGATTGTTCCGTAAAACGGAGAAGTGAATGCAGAATTTATCTATAAAAAGCAATACATGAGAAATAAACATCGAAATCTTCTAAAGCAAAGAATTACGTTATTTTATGGTGGTTTTATAATAAAATTGCAAATCTAATATTTATCAAAAATCGCAGTATTTCACATTTAGTGTAAAATTTTGAAATTTATGGAAAGACAAGAATTTAAAAAAGGAGCGTATGTGCAGATTAAATGTTTTATGTATGTTATGCTAGACAATCACATTGTGGGTATTGTCAAAATTTTTCGCCAAACAAAGACTTGAGCAACATTGTGTATGCGTTTGTCACGTTGTGTCATTCTATCTATAGACGATTTAGCATGACTTTTGTAAGTTGAGAATACGTCATCTCTCTGTTAAATACTCTCTATTCAAATATACTAACACATATAAGCAAGCAATTTATATAATTATTTCTAAAAACGTATGATAATGCATACGTCAAGGACATCGCATGAATGCTCGAGATACTAGAATGATACAATCGGGATACAGCATAACGATCGATTCAATTACACATACAGATGTATACATGTTTTAAACAGATTATATAAAATCATCCTCCTGAAAGCGTGTACAATTATCGAAACATATTTAGAGTATATGTAATTAAAGCTTTGAGAAAAACATTTGGGAAAAATGTTCTCCCTGTTGACTATATATATAATAGTTTAGTTATATATATATACAACATAATTACATTATAATATCTTAAACGATTTTGTATCTTCATCTTTAATTCTTGTAATTTTCTTAATTCTCAAAAGAGATGAATCTCCGTTAAGCTAAAATCACGTAATATCGAGAGCCCTTAATTAAGGAAAGAAAGAGAAAGTTTTTGTACAGCAAAACTATTAAGAAACAAGATATATATCACATTGCTTCGTAATATCTACTCTTGTTATGAGTCGATCATTACGCGATCTCGCTAAAGTCTTATCCTAAAGTCTTAAATAAGATTGATATAAGCCAAACTCATATATACTGGTCCCAATTGATTTATTCGCCGTTGAATTCTAATTTTTCACGGTTGTGTAAACGCAAACAGGGGATTACATCGTTTCCGAATAAACGATTTAGCAATAATTTATTATTCTAGTGCCTATGGATACTCGTATGTTTATAAAACCATAGTACACTGGATCGATTATAATTTATTTTACCCTGTATTACTACGAAGTAATACTATAATTGTAAAAATAATCGTTCTTGCCAATGCTGTAGTCTTGTGGAGAGACGCGCTGCTCTTTATTTTACTTTGCCGATGTTAATTATAATACTGTATGTGAGAGTGCGAGCGAGCGAGAAAAAAAACGTATCGCGCAACATTCGTCATTAATAAGGAAAGACTTATATAAGATACCGCAGAAAAAAATAATAAATATGATGTTGATGATACCACGATCGATGTGATACTGCCGTTTTATTTTTATTATAACAATAAAGTTTATATATCTGGAATAATCCTAAGGCTTTTATATTATGACGTAATTTCTTAATGTAAGAAATGTCAAATGATGAAATCTTCTGTCACTTGATGTTTTTTACAATAAGAAATTACGTTATAATATAAAGTGAAAAATACTTTAAATAAGACGGCGCACTTGAAGACGAAAATAGATCTAGTCTTAAAAAATTAAAAGGAAAAGACAGAATATATAATTGAGATACAATTTTATTAACGGATATTTTGCGATGGCAGTGACGCTATGTACACACATCATTACATGTTAATGCGATATGAATGACTATTTGTCACTTCCGGGTTTGATAACCGTGACACACTTGGTTGACTATATAAATATCGATTGCGATCTGTACATTACACGAAAAGTTACAAATCTACTATACACTAACCAATAATAACAGTATATCTTATCGACTTATTACGTTTCTTTGAAATTTCATAACGAGATGCTTTATCGCAGATCAAGTTTATTGGCGATTATAAACTCATCCGATTATATAATGAGATGAGTTTTTTCCAGAAAAAAAAATATATTCGAGAATAATGGTATTGTACTATCGGTTCGCAATCTCTACCATTAAACTTATCGCGTAACGATCTTAATTAAATAACAAACAATACACTCGCAAAATTATTGCGCTCACTTTCAATTACAAATTCTTTGACGACTTTGGCATTGATGATCTTCCTCGTTAATATTTAATTAAAGTTTCGTACAATAAGTATATCATGGTAATTGCAAACAACAGAGGGAAGGGGACGCGTGCTTATTATTTTCCTTTATTTTGTATAATTCAATAGCATTTTTCGATAACTATGTAAAAAATCGGTTACGTAGTTCATATTTTTTCAACATAGTTCGAAGGGAAAAGACCAGTCTTCCCTTTCAGTCTTCCATGCCACCAACCACCCTCATCTGAAAAAATATTAATCGATTAACATATAAAATTACCCTTTTTTAATGTAGCTAGATATAATATAATCACACTCAAACAATTTTTAACTTGTAACAATAGAAATGAATAACACGAAGGGCTAGTCTAGTAAAAAATCACGCACTATACCAATATGTTTATATACTCTATATTTCTCTCTTCCTCTTTTTATATTATCGATCAATTTATTATTATTTATTATAAAATAGTCACATAGAGATTATATCAACTCACGTTCTTTGAGTACTTCTACGATGTCGCCTTCCCTGAGGCCTAACTCGTCGAGATCTTGCGGCTCGTAGTCGTACAAGGCTTTGACTTTTGGCAAACTCGGTGGTGCAGGTTTCTGGGGAGGCATCTTTCTATTAGCTACCGCATACGCGATATTATCCTCCTTTCTTCTTACGCGGTCCAGCGCGTCGTTAGTTTGCTTGATGTTCCATTCTTGGGATGTTTGCATTCCTTTATTGTGATGACCAGAAGCGTTATGTTCGCCGTTGAGAGGGGGTAATTTGAATCTTGTAGGTTCGTGCGGTGGCGGTGGTTCCGTGGGTGGTGGAGGAAATTTGAGCAAACCTTCAAATTATCCGAAGAAGACTTATATATTTATACAAGTGAGCTCAATATACAGGATATACAGGTTTTTGGGGAAAATACGTATTTTCTTGAAAAATGTCACATACCAAAGTTGTAGGGTGATTTAAAAAACGCATTACATAATAGTATTAGTATGACTTTGAATAGTGTTATCAAGGTGACGTAAAGATTACCTTGAAATTTTTAGATGGAAACTCCCATTTTTCATTGCATATTTTTGTAGCTTATCTCGAGAGCTTTTCAAAACACTATAATGAAGTATTTTTCGAGTTATTTTATATTTTATATCAAAATATGTCAGAATAAGATATAAAATAACTCGAAAACTACTTAATGAAAAGATACTTCATTATAGTGTTTTGAAAAGCTCACGAAAGTAAGCTACAAGAATATGCAACGAAAAATGGGGATTTCCATTTAAAAATTTCACGGTGATCTTTACGTGACCTTGATAACGCTATTCAAGGTCATACTAATACTATTAAGTAATGCATCACTTAAAACTCTACAACTTTGGTATGGGACATTTTTCAAGAATTTTCCCCCAAAAACGCTTGATATGGGCGCTCTGTTACATCCTGTATATGTAAAATAAGTAGTTCTTTTCTGACAACTTGACATTTTCTTAATTTAACGCGCCGCGATTTTTATTCATTCTGTAAAGATTTTTTTTTTAATTTTTACAATCTTACACAATCCATGCACCTTTTCGCGCATTTCAATTATTTGAAGATATTTCTTCGAATCTTGCTCGTCGAAACTTACCACGTGGTCCGGTATTGGGATTGATAAACATGCCCATCACAGCAATCTGCTTGTCCTGTAGCTTGTTGGGATAGTTTGTTCCGTTTCTCATATCCCTTTGAAGCTGTATAGGTTGAATGTTCGGACGATTCGGTGGAATGTTTGGTCTACCGTTTAAAGTCGCTTGTGTAGAAGTCATAGATCTCACGGCTGCTACCGGACGAAGAGGGGGTCTATCTGTCGTGATCGCGTGATTATTCCCAACTGTGATTGAAGTTAAATCGCGTAGCTTCGGTGCTGAACGAATCGATCTCGACATGTTATCATTGTGCGAACGAACAAACAATGTCGATCGATCCGAATTAGGCTCTGAAATAGAAACGGTATCTCATTACTTGGATCTAAAAATAAGAAATGTAATTATATATTTTTTACGTATTATATGTGGAAAAAAAATATATATATATTTATTCGTCGATATTTTGATATTAAATATCATTGATATTAAATATTAATAATTTCCATAAAACATAAAAACTCACTTGTTGTGTTTGGTAATCCTGGACCGATACTGACGTTGAGAATTTTGCCGGACGGTTTTAAAATCTCCTTATCGCCGTAATCGGTTTGCGTGAATTTTACATGCCTCGTTCCACCGCCACTCCAACCTTCCTTCTTCACTTTAAATTCCAAGCTGAAAAGGAAATAGATTTATGAATTTTATTTCGAGCATAGAATGCACTATATAGGTTGTTAAGGAAAAACCATTCAATATTTATATGGTAGATATAGGACACACCATATTGAGTAAAAAAACCTTAGTAAACATAGGTCGAAAGCTCAACTGTTTCTGAGATATAAACATTTTTGTATGTTAGCATCATGATTGACTTACTGGCTTCTACGTGTCGCGTGCGATGTTTACCTCAGTGTTTATAAACCGCGTTCTCAATGTTTTTATTCAATTTCCATACATACTTCATAACAGAAAATTTCACCGGCGTTCAGTCAGTTGTCAGCACCCTGCGATTGCGGATCTATTTGGTGATTACACAATTACAAAGTATCGTGCTGAAAATGTCAGCGTATTAAATGAAGTGGAACTGTATTCTAATAAAGTGGAACACCTTTTGTAAATATCGAGATAATGTTTAAATCTCAGAAACGGTTGAGTTTTCGACCTATGTTTACTAAGGTTTTTTTATTCAGTATGGTGTACTCTATTTATCATAAATATTGAATGATTTTTTTTTAACACCCTATATACGCGGGCCACGCTAATTTAACGATGTACAAAATTTGAAAAACAGCCTTACTCATTGCTAAATTTAACATTCAAAGGATGACCAATGTCCTCGAGATATTTTTTGCTGAGAACAGATAGAAATTCCGTCTTAAATACCGATTCTAATAAGCTGGCATAATCCTCCCTCGTATGAATAATTATGAAATTATCCTGGAATGAAAATTATTGTCAAGGTATATTCGCGACTATTATATGATATGTATATATACAGAGATTAGCATAAAGGGATAATTACTTGCAGCGTGCTTAGTGACACATGGCTAATCTGATTAAATGGAAGCTTTCTTTTAATAACTTGCACAGATTTACCCTTTTCGGGACCTTTCTTTATTTGCTCCCGGCCGATTAAATAAAGATACTTCCCGGTGAGGATGAGATCTCGCCTGCACATCTGTTACACAAATTATTTGTTCTAAAATCTTTAGTTTGCCTTAATCTTAATGCAAAATCCAGTATGCTATGTTATTAAGTAGATCTTTTCAAGGTAATATTTTTGTAGAATACAAGATATCTCTAAATCTAAATTAAAGAACGCTCGAGTCGTTCGACGAAATTGTCGGGACTTTCACCTTGAATCTTCTGTCATATTTTTTCACGACCTCGGCAAAGAACACTTTTTCCCGTCTTCCGAGCAGACTCATTGTCTGCGACTTGCCTTCCAGCCCAATGTAATCACCCACGAAATTTCTATTCAGACTCGCCCGTCTCCGCTCCTTATGACCGAAGAGTAAATTAGCGGCTTCCTGTTTCTGTTGTTGCTGTCTCTTCCGGGCAAAGTACTTTTTGAAGGCTTTCTGTATAACTCGCGCATACATGTTGTACTTCCGGTCACGAGTTTCCTCCAGCATGAAGAGCTAAATAGATAGTATTATTTACTCATTATCTATTCGCTGAGCTAAATTTAATTCGAATGTGTGTTTTTACCGAGTCTACGAAAATAGCGATTAATGATAGATTTTTGACCAAGGGAAACTTACGGTTTCGGGCGCTTTGATGAATAGCTTCGATCTGCCGAGCTGATATTGCGATCTGTCGATATGAACACTCCCCAATATCCACTCTACGCCCTGTTTCTCTTCACCGGGCCAACGAGGCCGGGTTTCTTTGGTGAGAATCGCATATCTGTGTAGAAACTTGGCAAACGTTCGTCTATAGGCGAAGCCAGCCCTGCGTACTCGAATATTTTCCTTCAGACCTAAATATTCCACCTAGATCGCGGAAAATTGTGTGATTACTATCGTACTCTGTGTGTAATTCATCGCCGCGAGGGTATCGAATCTCGGATTCAACCGCTTTGAAACTCTTTAAAAAGTCACAACTCTGAGTATCCGCTGGGTTTACTTGGCTAAAATTATCTAGACGATCAATTTAGCTGATTATTATCTCGATCGCGAAATATAACGTCCACGTAATACGTTTCCGTTAGAACATCTTTCTGTGGGCGCGTATTCTACTCTATTAAGGTAACTATCATTCTAGCGCAGGCTGTAATGTGAAAACTATGCCGTATTGACTTTCTCGAACAAAATTTCAGCGTTATTATCCGAAGGAGGAGGGAAAAATATGTTGTCGGCTTTACGTGTAATCGCTCTGGCATAGTTCATATCGAAATATCGTATCATCAAGTTAATTGAGTGAACTCAACTAAGGAAATTTCATTAATTAATTCTTGTTTCCTCATTTTTCTCAAATTATCGATTTTTGTCCGTTTTGTTTCATATTTTTTATAAATATTTGCGATCTTATAGATGTTGTCCATGCATGTGATTAATGTTTATATATTTGAAATATACAGGGTGCTCCACATCAGATTAATGAAACTTCAGGGTCTTATAGGAAATCAAATTTGGAACAAAAAAGTTCGAATAAACATAGGTCCGGAAACGATCGTTAAAAAGTTAGAGCTAATAAACTTCAAAAAATAACTTTTATTGATGATTTTTAAAAATAACTTCAAAACTTGAAAAAAAGTAACGGAATAAATATAATGAGTAATTAAATAACAAATTCAATTACACCAATTTTATTTAATTCTGATAAGGCGTCCAAAAGAAAATAAGCTCAAAACAACAAAAAAACAGAAACTTGAAAAAACCACCTTTCGATGATCTTTGTGTAAACATTACATTTGTAGTGCAAACATTGCAAATGCAAACATAAAAATGTTCTTATTAAATTTTGATCATAACTAATTATTTATAGTTTATTAGCTATAACATTTTAACGAAGCGTTTCCGGACCTATGTTTATAGGAACTTTTTTGTTCCAAATTTAATTTCCTATAAGATCCTGAAAGGATCATTGACCTGACCTGGAACATCCTGTAGAATCTTCTCTTTCTCTCTCTCTCTCTCTCTCTCTCTCTCTCTCTAAGCAAATTATTATATACCTGATGCTTGACTCTGAGATGATCCCAGTCGCGCGGCTTTTTCGTCTCATTCGGCTTGATGCATCGAATGTAATGCGGCGTGCATTTCATCAGTTGACCGACCAAGCGACTCGCTTGATTTCTGATTTTACTGCCCGCGGTGGTTGGTCTGGACTTGAGAGTCTTCGTTTTACCGGTGTCCCGCGGGTAAAGTTCACGCACCAAGGAACTTTAAAGATGTAAATATCATATTTTTTCATATGTTTTCAGATATATCTATCTTTTACACAATATTATATAACGCATCGAACGATAATTTCAAACATTTCACAGAAATCGAAGTAAATGAAAAAATACAAAAAAAAGAATTAATATTGGCAGGTTTTCATTATGACATCGATTTGATCAGAATCTCGGAAATCTGTAACTTCTGGTTATACGTGACTTGCGCGACATTTTCCGCACGTAATTCTTACGTAAATAAACGCGCGTGATTAGTAATTAAGCGAAGATTACGTTAAATTATTGAGGAGTTTACATAAGAGCGCAACGATTTTTAGCAGCCGAAGATTTTAGTAATCAGTTGTAAATGTTAAAGTGCAATGAATGTAAATTAATTTCCTACTTCATTTATTCACTTTATTCGGATTATCGAAAAAAATGTGGAATAAAATACGATTAATATTCCATATTTTTCAGAATTAAATCCCGCAAAAGCAAGCTTCAACTTTCTTTCATGTTATTATATAATATAATATTATAATATTTACTAATCTCTCACGTAATCACACATAATGTTTTTTTTTTTTTTCAATCTTATGTGCTCTCGTTGTGAAATATTCAATCAAAGAAAGAAAAGGAGAGATAGTACGGATTAATTAATCATCGTCAAGCGATAAGTTATTCGAGCTTGTCTAGCTTTTGGAGTAATTTGTCACATATTGTATAATTGACAGTTAATGTAATCGCTTACTTGGAGCTGGTTTGCATCAACTCGATCAGATCTAAGAAGAGGACGTCCCGGTTCTTATCGCAAAATCCGTCGACGGAGTAGGACACCGCACCGGCATAATGCAAGATTGCGAAACCATCGCTGATGTCTTGAAAGTGGCCGTGTTGTTTGGCCGCTCCTGCCAGTTTCTGTGAGATTCATAACGATATAATTTCGAGACTATTATTGGCCATAAAATGTATCGACGTCCGGTTTTGGGACAAGATTTCATACCTTCTTCAAGTCGACGTCGGCGCCCGTGCTACCGCCGTGTAACGTCGCGCAAACGTCATCCAGTACTAGGAAGAGACCAGGTGGCCTTTTACCCTCGAGAAGTTCTACCACGATGGCGTTATTAAAGTACTCTATCGGCGTCCATCTAATGTTCTCGGAAATGTATTAAAATATAAAACAAAGAGGGTTTCGATTCTATTCAAGATACGCAAGACAAGATTTATTCTCATGAAAATCTCAAGATTTTTTTTTTACAATACAAGAACAAATAATAAGTTGTCATCATTCATCGGTATTTGCTACAATCATTTCTCTAATTAATAAAGAGCGTATTAATTTATAGACACTCCATTAATGTGAGAGAGGGAAAGAAAGAGATGTCGAAAAATGTAAAAAATCTGTGACAGATGCGTCACAGATTGCTCGAGTAATTGAAATTGTCGATCTAACTTTCGTGGAAGGTATGCGCAGGTTGCGAGGCACGCAAACAGCGTTACGTCGAAAATACGGGCTTAATTGCGTGCCGGCGGTAACACCGCGTATATCCCGCACGTACGAGCGATTTATATCTCGTTTTCTCGAGGCGATAGAAGGGAAAGGCGTAGTAATAACGCGATGGCCGGGCGCTTTTAAAATCGCTTTCCATTTCAGCTCATTGCCGAAGGTGCAACCGGAGAACTCGCCGGTTGCGGCCAGCGAGAGAACTGGTCTCGTCGCGGCTATTTCAACCCTTTCCCCAGACATCCTAGACGCTTGTTTCGCAATAATCCATCTATCCTGCGGTGTTTTCCTCATAGAAAAAAACGTATTTTTTTCCTTTAAATAAAAACAAATTTTGTTTTTTTTTCATTATTTTATAAAATATATTATTTTTCTTTATATTTTTTTTTGTTAACATAATAAAAAAACTAAAGTTCTTATATTTTCAATTAATTTCTTTTTCGGAAGTAATTTTAATGGAATAATGATATTTTTGCGGCAAATTACATCAAACTCGACATGATTCAGATAATTTTCAATTAAATGCGTAACAAAAATTTTTATTAATTAAAAATAATAATTACGTAACTATATAGCCAATTGAAATGCAAGCTATATTTAAAATAATAATGGTTAATTAAAATCTGTCACCTAAAAAGTTAAAAATAATGAAAAATCAATTTGCAATAATCAAAATATAAAGATATTAAATATCTGAAAAAAAACAAAATTTAAAAAAAACGAGGCTTGTTTTTTTTTTATTTACATCTCTAGTCCTACGACATTCGCATAATTATTACGTGTTAAGATCAAATGCATCCCTTCATATCGTGAGAATTCACATCCATTATGGATCTTTTGATTGTCCGTGCCGGCTCTTCTTCACGGTCACGCATAATTATACGCGATCTTTGCCCCGAAATTGGGCTTACCCGAGATCTTGCTCTAAAGTAGACAATTTCTCCGCCCGTCTTTGTCCTCACAAACGCGATTCACGGTCAAGTTTTTTTACTCGGTCTAGTTGCGATCCGATCGCGACACGCCGTCGCGGTAACCAGAAGTGGCACGATTTTTTCGTCGTGGCCTTTAGTCGAGTTAACGACTCTTTTTCATGAGGCTTGACCTCTTTTGATTGATGGACACTGTTTCCACCTTGATTGTTCTTCGGAAGACCGCGCTATACAATGACGGTGTGCCCCGTATTCGATTCCTTTTTGTATTCACGATCTGAGGTCTCTCTTCGCGAAAGATTCGCAGACCCTTTTGGTAAAGATCCGACGTTTGCGTATATTTAATATATATTATCAATCCCTTTTTTTTCTCTCTCTCTCTCTCTCTTTCTCTTATATGTTTTATAATACACGATTTCCGTGTTTGGCAAATAATAGTCCATCGGTGGATGGAACGTCAATCAAGCAACGCTCGAGTGATTGGCGAATGAATGGTATTCACAACATGGTGGATAATTAATGTATACTAAATTTGGCGCGTATTCACGATTCTTTAGCGTCCTTTCGGAGCAGGTGCTTTCACTTTGCGCGGCCATTATTATTTCACCTCTCCGCCGCTCTCGGACTATCCTTCGGTAAAAAACTGTTCGATCAATCTCATCGGGAAATAAGACGTGAATTATTATACGCAATATTAATTACACGCTGTCGAAATGATATCGCGATACAGAAACGGTTATTTATATATACAGGGTGTCCGGTAATTTTTGACACACCCGAAATGTGAAGGTAGATTGGCTCAAACCGAGTCGAAAAGTCCTGAACCATTTTTTTTTTTTTTTGATAACGCTTAATAAAGGAGTTATTATTGAGTAAAGTCTGGCCAATCAACGCCAACATTTAGCCGGGCGCACGTCGGTGAGCCGTGCGCCGTGAAGTGTGCGCCGCCGCATACTACCAGGCGCGCGGCTCACCCACATGCGCCTAGCTAAAGGTTGGCGTTGATTGGCCAGACTTTACTCAATAATAACTCCTTTATTAAGCGTTATAAAAAAAAATGGTACAGGACTTTTCTTTTTAGTTTGACCCAATCTACCTTCACACTTCGGGTGTGTCAAAAATTACCGGATAACCTGTATATATTTTTTTAGCTTGAAATAGCATGTCTCGAGTAAAAGAAAAAGAAAACAAAGACACACCGCGAGTATTTAATTAACAGCGATAGTTGCGATAAATAAATTAGTCGCAACTCGTTGTTTGCACGCAATTACTTCATTGTGACATTTCGGTGACAGTTAGGAGCGCGCATAAGTATTCATTCGCGCCATAAGTTGCAATGATCTGTCATTTCACGCGTCTGGTGTTGTAGTGTCATTCGCGGTGTGATTTCCTATCCTTATGGTCCTCTCACACTGGACGCGATGAGCGATGGGCGATATCCAATGAGAGCTCTGCTTTTCCGAAAAAGCAGAGCTCTCATTGGATATCGTCCATCGCTCATCGCGTCCAGTATGCCAGAGCCATTTCGCGGATAATCGAAAATTCGATTCGTTTCATTCGCGAACAAAAACGCGGAGAAAAAAAGTATGAAGGATCAACAAGAAGGAAAAACAAAGAGGAACGCGCGAAGCGAGTTCTCATCAAGATCAAGAGTTCGATCAATCCGCGGATACAATTGTATATTCTCTATTTAGATCTGTTTGTCTCGCTGCCGGGTTAACTTTCCACTGACGTATTTCACCTCCGACCCCCCGCTCACTCCGCTTACCGTAGGTTTAAGGACGCCCGACGGATACGCGTTCTGATTTTCGTATAGCCTCGCGGAACGCGTCCAATGAATGCATTGTCGTGCCGGTCCCCGCATCCGTCGAGTCGGCGAGGATGCAATCCGGATGCTTTGCCTATGTAAACGCTCGCGCACGCGCGCCCATCGGGGTTTCCGGCAATTTTCTCAAAATTAAATTCCGTTAGAACCCGCATAGGCGGGACAGTAATTAAAAGTAGCTCCTTGTGTAACGAACGCGCACGTGTGCGCAACGCAAGGATGTGTGAGACCCGTTACATAATATATTATTCGTCTTATTCCTCATCATTTCGCGATTAGTACAAAACTATTGTCATTTACAAGTAGAGATTAAATGGGTGGTAAAAAAACAGAAACTTTGGGTAAAAAAACTGTTTTTTACTCCCCTAAAAATAAGTTTTTTACCCCTTTAATTATTCAGAATGTCTATTTTCAAAAATCTGTAACACAAATCTAATTTTGGCTTTGAAAAATGAGCATCAACTTTACTGAAATTAGGTATCAGATTCCATGTCCTGTATTATTCTCATTTCTAGTCCACAAAATAACAAAAATAACAACAGTTTAATTATACTTGAGAGAGTTTTCTTCTAACTTTTATGAAACTTTTAAAATAAAGAACATCAAAAAATACCACTAAATTATAAAAATCAAAATTAACCTGTTTTAAAATATTCGAACTCAACTGATTAAACAAATGCGAAGTAGTAATCAGCTCAGCCACATCCATTGAAATTGATTACTGACCCAGTAAACAAGATTAATTTAATTCCCATACCATCTTTAGTTCGAAGAAAACTGGCATTATTTTTCAAAATTACCAAAAAAAGTTTTTTACCCAAAAATACCGGTTTTTTACTTAATTTCTTATCCCATTTTTAAAAAACTCGGTTTTTTAAATCTTTACTTAAAAGACAGTAATTTTTTGCTTATATATTAAAGAAAGAAAAGTTCGGTGGACAGTGGTGAATGTCGGATCCTTTATAAATATAAGAAGAATAGCTACCGCAAATAAAAATTTGATTAAAGACAAGTTATTAAAATTTTTTATATGTCTCGATCTTTTAATGTAGAAATTAAAAAGAAAAGTAGCTCACGTGTTTGATATGCTCTACTTAATCAAAACAAAATTCAATTAATTCCATACACACATATCTATATATGAATATATGTATATGTATTTATACTGAATCTTTTTTTTATATACTAAATGCCAATAAGTATACACACATCTCCAGATTATCCTAAATTCCAAAAATTCTCCAACTTTTTTTCTACAGCTTTTATGAAAACAAGTGTCTGATATACGCGTACCACGTACTCGTTTCGAATTAACGTTAATGAGCTAAAAAAAGGTCGCGACGCGCAAACTAATTAGATCAGGAGTCACAAATATCGCTCATGGGAATCGCGCTTCATTGTTGCTGGGAATTACTGGGGTTTGTCGAGAGGGGAAGGGTGTATAAAAAACGCAGATAATGGGGAAGATAGATGTGTGTATTCTGGGTTAACGGCGATGAAAATAAGAGAAAGAAAGAGAAAAAGAGGGGGTAGCCTCATCTCGATTTCACGAGAGATCGCCGGATTCTCGTGAGACAGTTAGACACCAAATGTCAACTCGCGGTCAAACTATATTGTTCCTTAACGGAATTCCTTCTGAGCAACATGACGGGAATTTTGATTATGATCTATATCTTTCGATATACATAAAGATTAGTTTATCGCAAAACACATAAATGTTTCGTGTTGCTTAATTCTGTGACGAGGCATTGCTAAGAATTTTGCCTAAAAGATTTTAGATATATTCTCTAGTCTAAAATGAAATTATTTTAACAAGCAGATACATATACAGGATGTTTTAGGTCAGGTCAATGAAACTTCAGGGTCTTATCGGAAATTGAATTTGGAACAAAAAAGTTCCGATAAATATAGGTTCGGAAACATTTCGTTAAAAAGTTATAACTGATAAACTTCGAAAAATCATGTTTTTTTGATGATTTTTAAAGATAACCTCAAAACCCTTCATTTATTTGAAAAATAACAAAATAAATCTGATGGGCAATTAAATAACAAACTAAATTATATCAATTTCATTTAATTTCTGATAAAGCGTCCAAAAGAAAATAAGCTCAGAACAACGAAAAAAGCAGAAACTTGAAAAGACCACCTTTCGATGGTCTTTGTGTAAACACTATATTTGTAATGCAAACATTGTAAATGCAAACATAAAAATGTTCTTATTAAATTTTGATCATAACTAATAACTTACAGAGAGTTTATTAGCTATATCTTTTTGACGAAGTGTTTTCGGACCTATATTTATAAAATTTTTTTGTTCCAAATTCAATTTCCTATAAGACTCTAAAGTTTCATTGGAACTCCCTGTATATTGACGTCATAGAAACGAAAGAAATTTTGTAATGAGATTATAAAGACGATATTGAGACACATATTAATCAACAGAATGTAATAATAATTGCGTATTATCTTTATCTTCATTGCCTAACAACAATTTGGGGCTAACTGTATCCTTATCGCGACGTGCATCGGAAACGCAAAAGATGTCATCTTGATATATCCGTGAGGGGTTCAATGGTCACCGCTATGTTGCGACAATGTTAACTTATTAGAAGATTTATGCAGCTATATTGCATCATTAATCGCGTATGAGATAAAGCTAATCTAGAAGCGCATTCGCAGCGGAGACGGTTGGCCTCGTGAAATTGAAGCTCGACCTTTTCTATTTGCAAATATTCTCGCGATATATTAATTTTTAAAGCTATGTATTTTGATTCTTTTATTATAATAAAGCAAAATTATTTTTTATTTTTCAGAGATGTAAATTATCTGCGCTGGAATTAGATTATTTTTACTGTGTTTCATAAAATAGAAAATCGATTTTTTTTTATCACAAAATACACTTGATTTTCGCGAGTCACGTGCGTCGCAAGAAGAATTAAAAACCACCGACGAGAGACACAGTGGCCAATCAGAAAATCTTCAAGCGCAAAGAGTGGTGGAAGCCGCACGTGGGAAGAGCGAGCGAGAGAGAGAGAAAGACAACGATATCGCTTCACTTAGCTATTTCATTACCTTCACTCGATCCTTGGCCGCAGTGCAACACGGAGTCGCGACTACGTTTCGTCGTCGAAGAATCGTTGTAGATGATATCAATCGGCGCGATTCTCGCGCGCACGCGGACGAATGGATCGTGCGTTGCATAATAAGAAGATCGAGTGATTCCAAATCTGCCTGCTTGAAGGCTGAGGAAGAATAACGATCGCTGACAATAGACGAGAAACCGACTTTATAGGTGCATCCTACAAGGTGTTGGATTCAAGATCATGTGTTTGTTGTCCCTCAGGTACGTTTTCATTGTTCAATATTACATTAAGGACCCGCGCTTTAAAGTATATTTATTTTTAATATTTATTTTTTGCATTTGTAATATAACAATTTTTTAATATCGTTTTTTAACGAAATTGTCACGCTTAATTTTAAGCCTGCGACGCGTTAATAATTTTTCGGGATTTAAATGAAACGATTCTATAAATAAAGAGGATGAGCATGGTTTCTTGATTAATTCGATTAAATAATAATTTCGGGCTTTACTTGAAATTTATTTGCAAAGTCGCGCATTCAATATTCGCATTATTTATGTCACGAATTTTGCGACAACGATTTCACTCAGTGATCAATTTCAATAACGTGAGGGAGAATAGGTAAAAAAGATTTGTCGCGTAAAATGACGTCTCGATGTTCCAGTGACATTCAAATTTTATCGTCGCAATTATTCTCGCATCACGCTTGTAAAAGCGACTTAAATTTGTATAGGTGATGTATAAGGATAGCTTCAGACTCGTTAAGATATAATAAATTGATCGAAAAGTAAGTATGCGATCCAATCGCGTCGAATCTAAAGGATAAAATAATCATTATCAACGCGATTGGGAAATATATAATTTATTAATTAGAATTTACATTATATTATATAATATATTAAATTATATATATTATGGAAATTTTAAAAGAAGAAAGAGAAGAATCGCATGATGATTTTATCGAATAACATCATGAGAGGTTTAGGCGTGTGGTCGATATTCATTTATACATAGATACTTCGCAATCGTCAATTTGCGTTAGATTAAACCGCTCGACATCCGCCAATAATCTTCTAATGGAAGTTAATTGCTTTGCGTTGCGAAACGCCATTGTAATCGCAACGCGAACGAAGAACGACCGCAAAGTTGTAATCAAAACGAGCTCGTTAAACGTCACTCCCAATGAATATCGCCTGCGTAAATTTGCGATAAATATTCTCCGATATGCTTATCATTCTCTTTCTCTCTCTTGATCATTTTCAACAAATACGGTTTGATTAATGCAAGAAAATTGATTAGAGGCGTAGAATAATCGGAGCGCAATGAATGGCAAATAAGTCGCGTTAATAAATTATGCCGCGGTATTAATTAATGACCATCGCCCCACCAAACGTTCCTCCCTTAGGGAAGAATGTCGCACTTTGTCTTCACTTTCGATGGGATAAAGGAAAATAGAGCACGAGATGACTCTTCGATTCGCGCACGAGTAAAAAGTACGGAATTATATAAAGGCTCAATTAAGCGTACTGTTCGTTCATTTTGTGTCCGCTGCGGGACAATCATGATCGGCTACGACCACGTTTTCAACGCGGCGATCATTTCCTTCCTCCGCGACGAACGGAACGAGAGGAAAGGCGCGGCGCTCTGATTGCAGTTTTTTTTCTCTCTTTTTTTTTTTTCAGCGAACGGCACGTAACACTTTTTTATTTTAACATGCCACGCGGCAAAACCGTGTAATAATAGTTGCCAGTTATCGCCTTCGTACGAGCGAGTATTCTACTTCAGCGTTGCAAAATTCTTTCTCCTCGCCCCTCAGGATCGAAGAGCGGAGGAAACAACGACGACATTGTTTCTTTCTTAGTTTCAAGGATCGGCGAATGATTAATCTAAATGAGAACGCATAACTTGGATACGTAGAAGTCGTCTCTCTCTCTCTCTTTGTCTCTTGAAATCGCTAAAGGACACACTTGAAGAACGTCCCAGGGGGCCCAGCCTCCGGGCCTTGACCACAAGACTCTCACTTTCCATTCAGGTGTGAATTTAATTGCTGCATCTCTGCTTTCCTCGTAACACCTTGTGGCACGAGGTTCGATGGTCGGCGAACGATAACGCGCGATCGAGAGATCCTCGTCGAGTATTTACGTAAGAATGTAAGCAAGTGCCCGTAAGTGTGGCGTGGGAGTCGACCAGTTCGCATGCAACCGGCAATGTTTCCTCGACTTTCTAAGTTCCGATATGGCGCGATAGCTATCGTTGACCATTGCCAGGTTGTCTTCGTTACCACGTGCGATCGAAAGTCATTCGATCAATGAATCAGTAGTCAATCTCGAATATTATTTCAAATATCGACCACTGTCTGGGAATCCTCTCTTATGTCGTGGCAAAAAATATTTCTTTCACAAGCGTCGTTTTATACCTTTTATCGATGCAGGGGAAAGCGAACAACAATGACAACGCGAAAGGAAAGAGAAAAAACTTTCTTTCGTCTCGTTGCGATGATGATGCGCGCGGCGTACGCGATTACGAATACTAATTAATATAGTGAAATCGGCACGCGTCATCGATTTCGTTCTCTTACGTCTCGATTCCTTTATTTAACGAGCGTGAACTCCTTGGATTTATCGTAGACATAATATACGCGATATTACGATTACGGCCATAATAAATTTTCCATCATGTGAGCCGAACAATACGCCGGTTAATTAAAAATTTGTCGGTATAATATCCAATGCACGCGGGTCGCTGTTCCCGATGTGAAATCTAACGATTACTTTCATAATAAGTATCTACAAGAGATAGCATTGCATACCATATAATAGATAAATTCGTGAACGTTTGCGAATATGACGGAGAGAAAAAATATCGTTTTTTTTTTTCCTTATTCATCTTGCGTTATCACTTTTCAAGCGTGTAAATATATTCCTTGTTGGATATCTCTACGGAATCGATCAGACTTATTGATACGGAATAAATTTACGCGCGGATATAATAACTCGTATCGGCGATTATTTATGAATCCCCGCTTGCATTCGTTCTAGCCTCGCGTGTCATACGAATACGAGCGTACGGAGGCTGCGACAATAAATTCTCCACGTCCTACTTCGCTACCGTTTCGTCTTCATTCGCCCGCGAGATCTACATACACCCTATAGATCGTGCGAACGCCTTTCAAAACGAAGAATCGATTGTAAATACGCTGCAAATACGCGCGTCGATTTTTTACTCTTTGCGCTACATTATTCCGGAATGGAAAGATTTAACGCGGCATTTCAATTTGATCTCGCGGATACGCGAGGAACGAATGCTCTTTCATTATGGTGTGTTTTGCGGCGAGCATTCATTAATCAGAACTGAAAGCGCGACAATGAATAGAGAGATAACTTTACGAATTTCTTTCATGTCCTATTTCAACGAACAAAGTCTCTCTCTTTCTCTCTCTCTCTCTCGCTCGTTTATCTATACATATAGAGCGACGTATAAATTTATATCATTCCACTTGCGCAATACGTTGCGATCGACTCAAGATTTGCAAGTTGTCTTTTCAAGTCGAATCGCCAGAATTTCTACAGTAAAAGTTTCTACCATTAATTAAAGTTAGAAATTTGTTGAATGTTCGCTCTTTAAAAATTGCTCAAAGAGATTTTATTCATAATATGCGATATTCGAAGAAAATCAAGAAACTTTATTTGCCACTTTGTTCTTTTTTTTCAAGGAAATTCCGGATACGTTCTTTACCGACGATTAAGGGAAACTTTATACCGATTAACGCAAACCGCGCGATTTTGATTATTCTCCGACCGCAAGAAATCAGTCGAGAAACCTGATCGAGTCTGTAACTTTCTCGAAAATTAAGCATATTTACTCGCACAGCCACTTTGCGTCTTCGCGAGATGTAGGAAATGAAGTAACGATAAATTGCAATTACAAATGTAAATACATTTACGCAGGATCGCGCGAATTGGATGGCAAGTTGTCCTCGACATTTAACTAAAAATTCAACGGCAGATTAAATTACAAAGATATTCGGAGAATCATTAAATGCGTGTGTGTGTGTTGAAAAGTCTTGATTATCTAACCAGTTGATTTGTAGCGATTTAAATAATATTCTCGGCTCGCATAGATTACGTAAACGGTGTAAAAGGAGAAAATCGATATAGAAAGAAAACCCAGTGCAGTGCGCCATTGATGACGTCGGCACGAAAAATGTCAAGCGATTCGGTAAGCGCAACTGGTGAGAATGCCAGAGAGCCGCCGCCGCCGCCGCCTGACAGGTCGCTTGACAGATCGACTCCACGTGGAGTCGCACGCTCCGCTTCGCCCAGCGTTAGCCGGGCACGTTCACCGGGGCAACGATTGCACTTGCACTTTTTAAGAGAACCTGTTCACCGGCGAGGTGGGTGAACCACACCTATCTGGCGACGTGAATCGGCCGAGTAGATCTCGCGCGAGGAGAGAGCGCGCGGGGACTCCCCGTTATACTTTTGCCAAGCGTGAACGGTAACGCGAGATTATAGACGTCGTGCGAGAGAATTCTGTCGTTCTGTTGTATATATATCGTATATAATAATGTAGCCTATTTCGTGAAACCGATATATTTAATACGGTTCTCTTTCTGATCACATTTTCTTTGCATACTTTGGGATATAGGTTTCTCGGGAAGTCATTAGTTTGAATAAATTATTTAATAAAATATCGTTTTTTTTTTTCCTTATTCATCTTGCGTTATCACTTTTCAAGCGTGTAAATATATTCCTTGTTGGATATCTCTACGGAATCGATCAGACTTATTGATACGGAATAAATTTACGCGCGGATATAATAACTCGTATCGGCGATTATTTATGAATCCCCGCTTGCATTCGTTCTAGCCTCGCGTGTCATACGAATACGAGCGTACGGAGGCTGCGACAATAAATTCTCCACGTCCTACTTCGCTACCGTTTCGTCTTCATTCGCCCGCGAGATCTACATACACCCTATAGATCGTGCGAACGCCTTTCAAAACGAAGAATCGATTGTAAATACGCTGCAAATACGCGCGTCGATTTTTTACTCTTTGCGCTACATTATTCCGGAATGGAAAGATTTAACGCGGCATTTCAATTTGATCTCGCGGATACGCGAGGAACGAATGCTCTTTCATTATGGTGTGTTTTGCGGCGAGCATTCATTAATCAGAACTGAAAGCGCGACAATGAATAGAGAGATAACTTTACGAATTTCTTTCATGTCCTATTTCAACGAACAAAGTCTCTCTCTTTCT